ATAATTACAACTTTTGCTGTATTTTACTTTTAGTAACTTTAACGTGTCGCTTGCAGATGTTACAAGTGCATTTCACTTGCATAAATGCAAAAACTCATGAGCAGACAGGCCTTTTAAGCACACACGCCAGCCACAAACTTACAGAGGCACAAATGCACTACAGAGCGTATGATTTACATTTTCAACATGTCATACGTATCACATTTTTTACTCAGCAATAAAAATGGAAAGTTTATGGCTTATTTTTTACTATAAAATATATAAAAACTAACAACAACAATTAAGGGAAATTTTATCCTTAAATTAGGAAGCTTAAATATATATCATTAAAGCATTCGTTTTAAATTTTCATTTCGTTATTTTAACTTATCGTAGCTGTAATAATAGTAAAAAATATATTAGCAGTTAAATAATTATTTAGAGACATATGTGAAGTAAAAACGGACTCCTGATCAAAAAACAAAACCCCAACTTTATCACATTATAATAAATGGAAGACATGATTTCATACCGACTATAATAAAAAATAATTTTCGTCAACAACATAACATCTGTGCTTCTTGAGACCCACGTCATTGTTAATAGCTGTAAATACGAAAGTTTGAAAGAACACTGTTACACTGGGAACATCAATTATGAGTCTGCCTAGAAATACAACAAACAATCAGTCTTGCCAATATATATGCCTTTAAGCTACGTAAGCAAGTCATTTATAAAGCCATTTCTCGACAAATAAAAATCAAGCCCCAAAAATCTTCTTATGACAGAAGAAGATTACTGTAAGCGGGCAAAGAAAACTTACTTCTCTGTGGCCAATTAAGAAACTAAAAATATATTACATCGCTCATTTCACTGTAAATGTGGTCGCCAGAGATTCCATTACTAGAAACATTGAGCATCAGAAAAACAGCACGAATATTATAAAGACTGGAAAAATGGTCAGAGTTATTATGCCAATTTTTTTTTTATTAACCTAATTTTTGATTTTTGTCTCTAAAAACCAGCTGACTCTTTCCAGTCCAATTTGAAGATCTCTAGAAAGTTGTTTTGATGCTGTCAACAGTGTTAACATATAACTGGATGACTTTCTACTTTGCATTTGTAGAATATCTGATTTAACACTGATAGATAGATAGATATTATGTAGTTTTTATGTATAGACTACTATATTAGAAAGACATTTGTTCCTAACATAAAATAATCATTAATTTTACTAATATTAAAAATAAATATTAGAGTTTATATTTAGTTTAATTTTTTTCAAGATAGTGTATATATGTATATATGTATAATTAAAATAATATACATTTCAATGAAAACAATGTGTGTTAACGTTGCATGTAGTAGAAACTATCAAGGTCTTTAAAGGTGTTATAAGTGCCTTCGGCAAGTACTCGTTTGTACACAGTCTTTGCACAACCTTTACCTGTACTTATTTCAGTCTACCTATTTTCAAGTACTGCACAAAGAAAATAATACTTTTACATATTATTTAAGTTTTATATATTTACTTTATTACATTCTGCAGATACAATGAGAAACGCACTTCCTATTCAAATGCAACTTGTTTAGTGCGTTAATATATGTACGCACTGGCTGACATAACATGAAGTACATGAATTCATTAATCAAGCCCTACATACAGCATAGAGCTAGATAAAAATATTAGATTAATATAAATCGTTTTAAACACAATAACAACACTTTTTTTTAGTACTAAACGGTTATAAGGCTTTGTTAAATGAACGAGGGATTCAGTTTTTATAGACAACTACCTATATACATAAGGGATGTCGGTAGCAAAAGAGACAAAAATCATTCATAGATTTTTGTATGGCTACACTGTCAAAAAATATATCACTCATCTATTTGGAGCACACTGTTTAGGCTACATTTCGTTAATACCTAACTGATAGATCTGATATAGACATGTTATTATGATTGTTAATGAAAGTCTGTCTATTCGAATATATTTCTATAAATTCTGAAGCTTGTCAAGACTATTTATTTGTATTATAGTGGCTTTAATACGGACTCCGACATGACAGCTATTTTCCTGAGCAATCTATTTATAAATTTTGTGGGTCGGCAGTGTTATTTATTTCCACCCATTCTAGTTTAAATCTTTATCGACTGTAACCTAACTATATAAAATATGGAAAAACATGGACATACCTAGTTTTTCTATAGATCATCTTGAACAACCTGACTATGTTAACAACATCTGTTAACCGTACGTTATGTCTGCTTAATAGAATTGAATTATTTCTTTATGTTACACTATAATTCTGTAATGTTTTTAACAAGTCGGTGTGGTTGCCTTAAAAACGTTCGTACAAATATTCCATTTCACAATTCAAAAGTGTTTGTACAACACTTTCATATATATTTCTTTTATTTTATTTAGCTTATATAAAACAATCTTTTTATTTTAATAATAAAACTTTTGTATACAAAGTAACTTTTATAACTGAAAGGCGACAGACAACTTAACTTGCTTTAATAAAATATTATTTATATATAGTATACTTGTGCTCTTATAATGTTCGTAGAGTTGTCTAGTAAATTAATTTACATAAATTCAAGAGAACTAGTTCAAGTATTCAACACTACATTTTCCCTTTTATATTAGCATCATTATTACGTTAACATTTAATGACTTAAAACTAATACCCACACATTATTTAAGAGTCTAATACCTGTATCTACTGTAGTAGCAAATATATATTTATTGAAATATCTGTAGATAATAACATCAAAATATTATAGCATATATTTAGATATATATGCATAAATCTGCTCCTTTAACTCCTATCTGAAGCAATAAGCAATTCGTCAATGCAAGAAGTTTCAAGTGATTAGGTTGCTAGATCGCATTATCCTAGTAACGCTAGTGCGCTTGATGATAGTAACGCTTTTTCTTCTTCCAATCTGGAATTTGTCTATTTAGTTAGTGAATAGTATTTTTTTTCCCCTTTATCCTACTTAAGTGAAAGGTTACAGAAAATTCAACTAGCTTTAATAAAATTCAATTTGTTATATTTATTATGTACACTGTTAAGCCGAAAGTTATCTGTTTTAATGAACGAGTGGGATATTTTATTTGCAGCTCCATTATGCCGACCATCTATACTGCGCCACCTAGCGATCCATTGGATTTAAGACAGATAGATGCACGTTGAATATATGATATAATACTAAATTTTACGTAAAACTCATATTAGATTACCTCACTGATAGATTTAAGAATCTTATTCAGTATAATATACACGTATTCCCACCAAATGAAACAAAATACATATTTATGATGCAAATTTAAAAGAGTACGAAATACAATATTTGGTCATTGTGTCATAGTCCATATGTTATCACACTATTCAATAATTGTATCTGACATGTCATACAACATATCAGATAGTGTAACACACACTGAAGTGATTACATTGAATGCTGATGTTTATTATAGGTATTTTGTGTAATTAAAATTAAAAGAGCACGAAATATGATATTTGGTCATAGTGTCATAGTCCTTATGCTATCACACTACCTAATAATTGTGTCTGACACTTATATGTCGACATGTCATACAATATATCAGATAGTGTAACACACACTTAAGTGATTATAAATGAATACTGATATTTGCTGTACATAGTACATTTTATCTATTAAAATCTATTAAAATATTTAGCATAACCTACAATTATGGAGTAGTCTTCTCTCAAATAGTCGCGTGTAAATATTTAAATACAGTTTCTATAATTATTTATTACAAAATGGAGATACTAATTAATCTAAACTAAAACGAATCAAAAAGTCAATTTATTTTCAATACTAAATAAAACGTTCTGTTATTTATTTAATAAAATATGTAAAACGCAAAGTTAATGACAGTTGAGTGCAGTCTCGTCATTAGTTTACATAATTAAATTATTTAACTTGCTAAAGGACGGCGGAATATTTAATTTTTAATTTTTAGCACAATTTTACAGAACCTGTTAAAAATTTGTAGCCATATGAGATACATCACCGTAAATAAATTACGAGGATATACTATCGCATAGATAAAAGAGAAAACTCATTAGTGATATTATAGGCTTGTTTATAATTTAAATTGCATGTAACAAAAATTAATTATGTAAACCTGCTAATGATTAACTACGTCCTTTGAGTTAAAAGCTATTTTAATAAAGATATAACTTAAATTAGCAAAATCATTTAATAACTTTTCAAGCCGCTAGAGTATGCGTCTACAATTATTAATGAAATATAAAATTAATTTGTATGAATATTAAAATCTTATATATTTAAATTAATTTATTTATTTAGATATTTAAATTTATTAGTAAATGTGAACATTCACAATAGACTAATTTTTGAATTTGGCTGCACTAAAACTTAAGACTTGAAATTTTAAGAGTATTGTGGTAGCTACATTGTGTTCTTTCGTAAGTTGCGAGTATTTTTTTGCTGCTCAGAAAGAAAAAATAAGGGCTAATATTATATTAATATTTTAATTAATATTAATTACCAATAATAATAATGTTTTACTTATTATTAACAGTGATTTATACTTTTAAATATAATATTCGTGAGTATTTAATATTACTTATTATATATTTTATTATTGATTATTTTTAAGCAATGAACAATCGTTTCCATTTCATAATTTTTTAATTAATTCTAATTAATATAAATTATTACTAATCTGTATTTTATTTCAAATTTCTATTATATTTTATTATTTAAATTTTTTTTTTGGGGGTGGGATTGAGGGAATTGCTTACGCACTGACTATAATCCTCATTGTAATACTTAACCCAAGACACATGTACTAACCCAAATGACTAGGTTTTCTGATGTTTGATTAATTATTGATTATTTTTTATTAATAATTTATTGATATTTTAATGAAATTTTTATATTATTAATATAATGTTCACAAGTTTATCATTGCCATAATAATGTATTATTTACCTTCTTTCAGTTACTCCGACATCAACAGCATGATGGCCACATCACAAGATTTCTTCGGAAATCCTTATGCAATATTTCGTGGTCCACCTACGACAATGCGGTCGCATGAAAGTCCTTTGAATACTTTTGCGCTCGACCTACAAACTGCAAATAAATGCAGTAATGTGGTGGACACGCCAACAGTGGTGCGTCCACCACCGCCGCCACCACCACCACCACCAACGCAAACATCGTCGCCGAGGTAAGGTTTTTTCAAGCAACAACGTACATTAGAAAGTCGGTCAACAATATCTAAAGACCGCTAATATGATGAAAGCCAAAACAAAGAGAAAGATAGAAAGAAAGAAAGTTTTTATGTGAAAGCAAAATAAAGCATATCACATCAATCAACACTTAAAAAAAAACTTCTTCAATCAACAATTCAAACAAATTACTAATATCAGGCAACGAAAATGCATAAAACTGCATAATAATGCACTTTTGGCTTAAATTCAATAAAAGTTTTGACACTTCAATTTCATTTGTTTTGACTGAAATCTATTATAAAATTAAACATTTTTACATATAAAGTTTAAATGAGTTAAAGTTCAATATTAAAAATTTACTAATATTATTTTACATATTCTTGTTTTTTTATTTCTAAACTTAAAGTTGTAGAGTTAACGTTTTCCCATAAAAATAGAAAAAAAGCTGATAAAAAATAATAATAACAAAAATGCATGAAAAGTTAAATTTTATGAAGTTTAATATAATATATTATCTCACTAATTATTTAAGTGAGTTAAATTAATCTATTCAAAAAATTAA